TTTAAATATTTCTTTAATATGTTCTCGATAAATATGCTAATAAAAATAGTAGTTAACTTATATTAAATCCCTAAACTATTTACTTAAAAAATTAAATGTTTAAATTGATAACATTCATCATTTTTTAGACATCTAAATTTCTATCAAGCATTGAAATCTATCTTTTACATAATTTTGTTAAAACAAAATTACAGCCTGTTTCGATTCACTTCCCTCTCCCCCTCTCTTTTTGCCATAACACTCATTTAGATATATCTGTATTACTGTCATCTGTCTCCTCTCTCTTTTCCATTTTTCCTTTTCTTTTCCCCCTTACTCCCTCCCATTCCTATATATCATTTCTATTAAGTTAACCATTTAAATAGGTCAAGGTTCGGTCACCCTCCTACCCCAATATAAAGCATGCTTAAGAGAGAGATATGGAAATTAACCTCCCTATACTCTACCTTGTCTCTTTAACTACCACTCCCCCCTGTTAAATTACAAAAATTACACTACCCATCAATTTCTAATCCCATTTTTCCTTTCATTTCATTGTTGGAATTGTTACCTGATGATCTGGAGTCCTTTAAAAAGGATTTTGGTGAAATAAATTATTGTAATGGTACCTTAAAGTGCATATATATCGAGAGAGAGAAAGAGAGAATGAGAATCTAAACACATATATAAAACTAAATGCACTCAATATTATATACACACACACGCATATATATATATATATATATATATATATATATATATTGAGAAAGTAAGATAGAAACACATGCACACAGACACATGCAGACACATATGCACACATACATACACACACATATACCCACATATATATAAAAGAGAGAAATAGACAAAGAAATACTAAACACATTAACAAAACAAAATGTACATACACACGCACACATATACGCACACACACACATGCAAACATACACATACATGCACACACACAGTGAAAGAAATATGAAGAGAAAAAAGCAGAAACAAACACTGGGTATACAGTAACACACACGCATATTTAAAATTTTTCCACTGACAGTGAAAAAAAAAAAATGAATTAAATTTAAATAAACCATACACACATATAATAGCTATTTTCTATTTGAGGTTATTTGTCTATTAGGGAATGAAATTTTTTTTGCAGATGACTTTTTTTGGCAATTTTTTTGTTCAACACTTACAGAGCTCACCTGTGATTTATTTTAGAAGAAATGTTTTATAACATAAAATATATAAAGAATAAAATATTTGAAAAATATAGATTCTGTTTGTTATCTGGTATTATCACTATATCTGAACAAAGTCAGATTAAATCCCTCGGTCACGATTTTCTAAAAATGAAAAAATTTGCTACATAAATTATCAAAATGATTAATTTCACCCCCAATGCTTAGGTCAATTTCATGGTTTGGCTTTCAGGCAATGAACTAAAAAACAATGCTGGAATCGTTTCCTTTTTTAAAAATAATATGGTGTGATTCAAATTTTTTCTCATGGTCAGAAAGTGAACGAGAATAACCACTAAATTTTATGCCCCACAATACATTTTTCACACATTTGACACACATACACACACACACACACATATATATATATATATATATATATATATATATATATATATATATATATACACATACATTGAAAAAATCTTTGAAAGCTGAAGAGATGAATATAAAAAATTCATGAAATAATTTTTTAAAATTTTTATTATTTTTATTCATTCATGCACTTGTAATTAAATTGCACTTTTTTTTGATTATTTTTGGAACTAAATCCTTTTTGATTAATTTTTTAAACAATATATATATATATATATATATTATATATTTGAAAAAAAAGAACAATAAGATATATATAATTTGGTGTTCTTATAGATATTTTTATTTTTACAAAATAGAGTTGAATGTAAATTTACAGAGCATTAATATTATAAATTATATAAGTGGTCTGATTACATAAGGAACTGTATATAATTTATGAGATAATGATATATATTTTTATTTATTTATTTTTTTTTAAGCATTTCAAAGGCAGGAGTGCCATGAGCTCACAAAAGGTTACAGAGAGTGAGAGTAAGAGTAAAGAGGGGTGTTTGAGGAAAGGATAAAGAGAAGGAGGGTGATCAGGATCAAGGCATCACAAGATGTTAATTGTCATTACATTTGAATATTTAAAGATTATAGCTATCAGAGAAGCAAATAAAGAGTTCCACTGTCTGGAAGTGTGAGAGAAGAAGCTGTTGGAGTAGAAGAGGCGGTTACATTTAACTGTTTCAACAGTGAAAGGGTGGGACCAAGATGCCAACCTAGTAGCATGCTTAAATTCATGCAGTTGGGGTACCAGTGAAAATAGCTCATCAGAGCAGTTGCCATGAAAATTTTTATAGAAAAGACAGAGGGATGCCACATCTCATCTGTGAGAAAGTGACTGGATTTGAGAACTCAAGTCAAGATTGATCACATTGCATATCTGTTGTTGGATTTTGTCGAGAACCTCGAGATAAACAATGGGGGTATCAAACCATATATGGCAACAGTATTCAATACAAGGATGAATGGTACATTTGTAGATCTGAAGGATGGACTGAGGCAAGAAAAACCTTCTGGCGCGACATAGAGAGCCAACTTTCCTTGCAGTAGATGCAGCTATTGATTTAATGTAGTTGTTCCACCTCAGGTCTGCGGTAAAAACATGAAACCAAGAAGGTGCAGAGAGACACTCTCTTGGAGTTGAGCATCATATATCAAGAAAAGATACATATTTTTATATATCAAGAACAATATTATTTCATGTTTATATCTACATACAGACATAGAACAATGCATGTATTCAGTTAAAAGTGAAATAAAATTCATCCTTGATAATGGCTAGAAATATAGACGAAAGCGCTTGGAAATCATTCAAGATATTTTTTATATAAATTATGTCCTGAAAAAGAAAAAAATTATACAAACACATGAAAAATTATCTGAAAAACTCGACCACCACACCTTGTTAGTAATTTTCAATGGAACTTGCATAAAAGTGGGATTGCTGCCCAAATACAATATGTGCATACACATATATATATATATATATGTATATATATATGTGAAAATATATTGAAAATAGGAAACCCGGATTAGGTAAATAATCCAAAGTCCCTTAGTATTTTAGTTATTATTTCTAAAAATAGTTCTCGAAACAAAAGTAAAGAATAAATATAATTATTTATTTTTAAAGATAGATAAAGGATGAAAAATTAAAACTCAAGTTTTTGAAAATAAGTAACTCTT